GGGTGCGTTACCTTTTTTTGTGGAAGGTTCGCCATGAGCCCTATCATAACCACTAATGAAATTTACTCATAAATATACAATTGGCAACTGCTATGTCGAAATAGAAAACATATCATAGGTTTGATGAGCTTCCAGTTTTTGTGATCCCGACCGCACGCTATTTTTGGAATTGCCAAATTATTCACTTCGTTCTCATCAACGAAATCTCGTAATCTGCGGAGACTGTTGAAAATGACCCTGTTGTTAGGCTTTTGATAATAGTGGTCCTTGGTCACTAAATAAAAAATCCACCTACCTTCCACGAACAGACTGGCTAACCCCCCTGACTTCTGATTTTGTCGGAGAAGTTGGTCTATTCGTCCAAATCTACGCCTAAAATGGAATTATATTTTCCTCTGAATAACCAAAATACAAGACATTTACTTAAAATGTACTGCTATGCCCTGTGACATTCTGAAGTCCCTAGATACGCAATGTGCAAGGGCAAAATGGTTTGGTGCCGAGAAAATATTCTCCTTACGACATTTCAAATTATTGAAAAAGGATTTCTTGTGGTGATGTAGATGCCACCAAAGATGCCATTCCTCATCGTAATATTTGTACGGTACATATCCTCTAGAGGATGACCTACAAATGAAAAATGTCAAATTTATTGGGTTTTATTATTTCACTTCAAGTTTTTTTTCAACGTATATAACTTACATCTTGTGAAATACCAGACAAATTGTTGCAATTCGGAATCATGAAAGATGAGCGTGTCTTGGAAGTAGTGAGGGGAAGACGAAGTTGAGAACGAAATGAGGGGAATACTGATAAGCATCGGGCTGGCCCTTCGAGAAGCATTCTTCAACTTCTCTTCAGTTGTGAAAAGACATTAAGCTCAACTCTCTCGCTCTCCTCAATATTGAAAATGATGTAACCAAAACATTGGATTTCACCAACACCATCCAATCGTTTGCCTGGTCCAAAGCAAGGAAGAGGAAATTTTAAAACGATATTAAAAGTCATTTCGTTAGTAAATACCGTGTTGTATTAATAAATGTACTTACTTACTTAATTATACAGTATTGTTTGTGTTAATTAAGTAGTGTAGTGTGTTTTATTTTTCAACATAACGTTTTCTGTATTTCCTTTTTACACATTTTGGAATTTCGCTGTTATTGACTGATCGATTTAAATTATTTTCTTGAAAATGAATGTGTAAGATCACTGATAATCTAAATAATAACCGAGATATTTGTAATCTCTCTACAACGTCTGCTGGGAGGGGGCGTAATGTAAATCTCTGGCCTAGGGCGTAAATAGTTGCTAATCCGGTCCTGATGTGAAGTGTTTCATCTGAAATAAATTAGTCATTTGCTGAATGCTGGATAGCGCGCATATAGTTTTATTTTCACTCTGCGTAACTCTATATGCAATACTCCTTTTTCAGAACTCGCTTTGAAAACATATAAAAACCGGGCAATCATTACACTTGGGGATATAGAAAAACTCAAATGTAAGTTGAAAATTTTTGGTCATATATCACATTACCAAATGAAAACATCGAAAATAATACCGTCATCTATACTTGTGAGGTTTGTTAGCAGAATTGACTGAAAATGTATCTTGTTATACCTTATTCAATGATAATCAAAGTGCCATAAATTCATCAGTCAATCCTGTTTATCATAACAGAAGTGAGCATATAGATGTACGTCATTATTTTGTAAGGAAATTGATTTCTAATTCAACATGTGTCTATTATTGGAGGAAACATATTTCTGTATCGAAGACTACTACCCACAGGACCAGTGTACAATTCAGCTGATTGAAGGCAATATCACAACGAATTGCCAACCCATTCCAATCAACATAGGCGAATCCATAGCCGAACAAATACCCAAGAGGATATGCTGATCATTCCCATACAAGAAAAAATTATTTTCTCCAAGCGCAGAGCTGATCGATGTACCGAAAGAAACACCCCCGCACTCATCAAAATTCCCAAAGCATGTGAAGTTCGAATAACCCACAAGACGTTTTTCAACAACATGAAGATTCAAAAAGGAAAACTTCTGATTTTGCCAAAAATCCAAATCAACAATGTGGAAATCCAAAACTTAGAATTTCCCCAAGCTCAACTTAGATGAAATGTACGGACTCCACAACTTGACAGGAAAGTTTTCAACAGTCAAAAAGATCGATGTAGCCGATAACACCAATAAAATGTTAAATCTTCGGAATCATTTTCGGATCAGCCATATTGGTATTGATTCTAATAATACTGATTAGAAAAAATAACAGAAAGTGTACCACACTAAAATGGTTTCGTCCTAAGAAAACAAAGAAAGATTCAGTAACCTCAAACATTATGAAAATTGTTTAAAAATAACTGCACACAGCGCGCTCAATAAATTATGCCGAAAATATTCTCACACACTTCNGAGTGTCTATTGCAAGTGTCTTTGTCTTGGGATGTTAGGATGGAAAAAACCCTTCAGCAGGTAGCTGTGCATGGAGGGGTAGACGCTGGGTGTTTAGCGCCCGGTTCTTCGGTGTTGCCAATATTCGACAAGCCATAAAATTTTCCTTTATACTTCCAACCTTTTCTCTAATCTATTTTTTGAATTTACCGGACTCTCGGTCCCAAAAACATGCGAAATCTCTGCTGAAAGAGTTCACTGAAATAGACTCAGAAAATAAGTACCCTTTTACATATCGTTTCATATCTGTGATAATTTTCTAGTAGAAACGATTCAGAAGTTTTCTACATCATTACATATGATGTTAATTTCTCTAGTAAAAACTGTCGTATGATTGAAATTTTCACTAGTAGAAAAAAGTCATTTCGCACAACTAATTAATGACTGCAAAGAGTTTCAGAAATAAAACTAGGGCTTCATGAGTGTGACGTAGTGCAACCAGTATAGGTAGTATTTCGAATCCAATTCCTGATATGGCGATGAAAATGAAGTAGAACGCTTGAAATCCGCATAGATTGAATACATCTCAATTAACTTTATTCTCTAACGTTTTTATTGAAATATTTTTCGTGTTTCGTAGATTGAGGTAATGAAGCGTAGATCTTTTTTTGTAATAATTCAGCATGTCTCGAGAATTGGCTTTGAAATATGGCCTAGCGTGAGTTAAGTAATTTTACAGTTAAAAAGTACCATCAGTCCTATAACTGTTATGAATTTTTCACGTTTGTTAATCTTTTTGAATTCTATATACTCATTTTCCATTTGTTACAGGTTTTGGATATGGTTGATCTACAAGTTATAATTGAAATGGGAGCCTTCGAAGTTGTGGAGACTATATTTCTCCACATAACAAGAACCTCAGTACCAATAACGGACCNCTTGTTATCACACATGCCGAGAGTTTAGATATCTTTCAAAAAATATATTAATTGTAATAATGTTGACTGGGGCTATATTTCAAAGCAAACGAATTTATCTCAAAGCTTGCTGAGGGATTGTCAAGAGTATTTAGATTGGTATGAGACTTCGTCAGGATACAACTTCACTGATGATTTTTTTTTGGGAGTTCAGACATAAGGTTCATTGGAATGTAGTTCTTGAATGCAGTTTGGTCCCAGATAATTTATTGAAGAAATTATTACATAATAATATCATCAAACCCAATCAATTTCTCTGGGATCACATTTGCTCTAACTTCATATTATTTGATGGTTTCATTTGCCAATTCGCAGAAAAACTGGATTGGTCAATCGTGTGTGAGTACCAGACTTTGTCTGAAAATATTATGGAGCGATATTCGCACTTACTTGATTGGTATAATGTGTCGATGTTTCAAAATCTATCAAAGGAGTTTATACTGAAATACAGGAATAGAATTGATTATAACGGACTGCAAATGAATTTGTATTTTCCGGAAACATTCGTTGCCACGTTATTGCAGAAAGTAAATAGAAGAGACTATGACAGAGGTAAGTATAAATGATTCTATAAGAATAAGGGCGCTGAAGTATTGACAAGTAAGTTTACTGGTATCCGATTGCTAATTCATGCTAATATTATTAATAGTCAATATAATGTTGATGGAATAGTTAATTGGTAGAACGGAAGAGCTGTATGGANGCCACTAGTCCCTATGAAAGATACGCCTTTTCGGGACATTGGAGATACTTTCTCTCTAACTCTAACGAGTTATAACGTATCGCTACTACTTATTTCGTGGCTAGAAATATCAGAAGAAATGAATATTGAAGCATCATTCGCATCAGAAACAAAGCCAGTGCGCCTAAGAAAAAAGAAAAGACAGTTAAGCTATGAAGCGGAAGATGAGCCAATATTCATGAAAATAAATCTCAACTTGAATCAATAATAATAAAACTCGCACGTGGAGAAGAAGGAAAATAAAAATAATTGAAACATTACAATATTTAGATATGAATCCAGATGAAATTAGATTGCATATATCGAAGAGGCGTGTAATAACAAATGTCTGTCAGGCTCTCGGTCTAAATTCCAAAAATATTAATCATAGAAAAAGAATTTATTATTACTTGACGAAATATTACAGTGATAACAGAAATGTTGGTCATATTAATAAAGAAATATTTGAGGATACTGAATTTGACGATAAACCTGTTCAACTACCATAAATACTGATAACTTTCGGCCTTGTGAGAAAGCAGAAGTCCCATTTAGTTCAATAAAGAAACTATCGAGCTATTCAAATNCCTGTTCAACTCCCATAAATACTGATAACTTTCGGTCTTGTGAGAAAGCAGAAGTCCCATTCAATTCAATGAAGAAACTGTCGAGCTACTCAAATGAAGAAATCAATCAAATCGATATCAATTCATCATTTTGCTATGAATACGAGAACAGTAGTAATCAGATTGCAAAAGTAGAGATAACACCTGAAAGTTTCAATATTCCTAAAAGTTTCAACTTGTCCGACAAACACAAGTATTCTTCTACCAAATAATTCTAAAAACATTGACGATTTACCTCCTAGTTCATATAAAGATTGTACAATTTTAGCGGGATCTTTCTCGATTGAAGATTCATATTTTGCTTACATAATAAAAAAAGTGTTTAATTAGTGAATATTATCCTTCATATTTTCGGAACCGTATAAAGAAATTTGTCAATAATATATGTTCTCTTAGATGATTTAACGTACGAAAAATGTGAAATATAAAAATAAAGAGTGCACCGAGTACTCATTTTTCTGGAAATTATTTGAAAAAGATTTGTTCAGTGGAAAAAGAAGTACAAAAAAAACTCAAATAATATTATTGAAGAAACCGAAAATCTTCCATATAATAAAACATTGTATACTTCGTTAGCTGATGAAACATCATTAGAAAAATGTTTATATTGCTGTCAGGGACGTCTTAATACTACAACCGAATGGGTAGCTTGTGATATTTGTATTCGTTAGATACACATGACATGTGATCCTTCTTTCGGTGAAAAAACCTATAGCGGTATCCTTATTTGTGATTATTGTTCAGCCGATAAGCAGTCGAATAGTGAAATAAATTTGAAGTAGTGTTTGTATTACGGTTTAGGGGAACTAGATGCTACTGTAACGTGAGTAGCTTGTGACAATGGCAATCGATGGATACACTGAATGTGCGATAATCAAAATCAATCTTATAGCGGAAATTTTTATTGTGAAAACTGTTCCAATACTTTGAAAGTGAAATGTGAACGCGCGTTACAAAGACTAAAGGAAGAAAGTAAACAACAGGATTCAATTGAAGAAATAACTAGGGATCAGCGCGATTCTTCTGCATGGTTCAAGAAAAAAAGAAAAAAAATAACTGCGTCGAATTTTGGGGCTATTTGCAAGGCGCGGAATCATAAGTTGAAACTTAACTTAACACATTCAATTCAGTCTAATCAATCATTTTCTAATGTGTTTTTAAACGCGGCATTGATTGCGAAAAAATTGCACTTCAACAATTTCTTTGCAAAACGAATTTTTCTCATGAAAAGTTCGGTCTTGTAATCCATAAAATATATTCATTTTTAGGGGGGTCTCCAGACGGGCTTCTAAATGACGACGGAATAATTGAAATAAAATGTCCCTTCGAAGTGCGCAACTGCGATCGTACAGGAACTTTAAAATAACTCGAGTATATTGATAATGACGAAAAATTGAAAATTAATTCAAATTACTACTTTTGAATTCAAGGTTTGCTTGAAATCACTGATAGAATGTGGTGCAAATTCGTTATTTTGATTTTAAAGGTATCCAATCAACACAAAGAATAGAGAGAAGTGAAAAATTTTTCAAAAATAAAATGTTGCCCATGCTACAAGAATCTTTTATTACTATTATTTACCTAACTTACTAGATATTCGGAATATTGATGAAACTACACGTGAATGGAGACCAATTAAAAATTTAAATATTTCATCAAATGGACTAATTAATGATATTAATTACTATAAAAATAATAGTAGGGACTATGTTGTAGCAGTTTTTAAAAATTTCGATTGTTCACATGAAATTAATATTTCTGATTTTGTTTCCCTAGATAATCAAACATAGATAAGTAATTTCGTTTTGGACATTGCCTTAAATTTATTAAATGTTAATAATAAATATCAAATAATTCGTCAAGAATTAGTGAGTATTATTTTCAATTCGGAAAAAGTAAGTAAATCATTAATAGAAAGAATTAATTTTGTAAAAGATTATCTGGCTTTACCAATATTTATAAATGGCAATCATCATTGCCTTATCATTATTGATTTTGTGACATCGACTTTTTGTTTTATGAATCCAATGAATTGTAATATACAGCAAGACAAATATCTAAATTCTTTTGAAAAGATTTTACGGATGTATAATACAATAAAATCTGAAAATATTGATGAAGAATTATCAGTAAAGGTTTATAATTATGTCAAACAAAGAGAAAACTTCATCTGTGGTCTGTTTTGTATTAGATGTTTTGGGTGCATTGTTAGTAATCGTGATATGTTGGAACTTATAGATATGTTGAAATATAGGCAAGAAATAAAAACATTAATAATCAATAAATCTGATTATATGACAAAATCCTGCTCGATATGTTCAAGAATTTGTAATGCCACTTTAGTAAAAAATTGTGCTTTTTGTAAAAGACTTATTCATATTGAATGCAATCTATTTCGGGACGAATATTTTATCAATAACGGCATTTGTCAATTGTGTGCCCAGTATCAAAATTATTAATTTATCACTATTATGGTGTTCGTTTTATGTGGATTGGGTAAGGCTGAAAGGCGGGGTTGGAGGCCTTTTGCAGAAATGCAAAGTATTGCATTTCTGTTTCCAGTATCAAAATTATTAATTTATCACTATTATGGTGTTCGTTTTATGTGGATTGGGTAAGGCTGAAAGGCGGGGTTGGAGGCCTTTTGCAGAAATGCAAAGTATTGCATTTCTGTTTCCGGTATCAATTATGCGCCCAGTATTAAAATGTATATTTATTCACTTATTAAGTGTTCGTTTTGTGAGGATTGGGTAAGGCTGGAAGGGGAGGTTGGAGACCTTTTGCAGAAATGGAAAGTTTTGCATTTCTGTTTGCGCGGTCCTCAACTTTGTGTGGACTGAAAAAGGCTGAGAGGGAGGTTGGAGATCTTTCGCAATAATGGGTTGTATCCCATTTCTGTTTTGGCGGTTCGTATCGGGAGTTTTTGAGGAGATTCACGTGCATATGAAAATGAGGTGAAATCCATTTCCTTCACTACAGGCAATGGTTATAATATGGCTCTTGGCGAACCTTCCACGGAAACAAAAAGGTAACGCACCCAATGGCAATACCTCCTGGGTGGGTGTGGAAATTTGCCACATCTATGTATTTGGAATTCAGTCGAAGAATTCCACAATGAATAATTTTCACGTGGAGGATTAGATTGGGTCACTATAAACACTTTCTACTATATTTCGTCCGAGCAGTCGTTTGCAAACGTTACCAAAACATTTTTTTTTAGAAAATTTCTTTTTGTCAGTGTAAGACCCAGTAGAATAATTTCACAAGGAATAATTTTCACGTGGACGGTTAGATTGGGTCACTATAAACACTTTCTACTATATTTCGTCCGAGCAGTCGCTTGCAAAATTGCAAAAGTTATCAAAAAAATGTTTTCAAAAAATTTCTTTTTCGCAGTGTAAGACCCAGTAGAATGATTTCACAAGGAATCATTTTCATGTGAAGGGTTAGACTGGGTCAATAAAAACACTTTCAACTATATTTCGTCTCAGCAGTCGCTTGCAAAAGTTATCAGAAAAATGTTTTCAAGAAATTTGTTTTTCGCAGCGTAAGACCCAGTAGAATTATTTGACAAGGAATAATTTTCACGTGGAGGGTTAGATTGGGTCACTATAAACACTTTCTACTATATTTCGTCCGAGCAGTTTTTTGCAAAAGTTATCAAAAAAATTTTTTTAGAAAATTTCTTTTTCGCAATGTAAGACCCAGTAGAATAATTTGACAAGGAATACTTCTCACGTGGAGGGTTAGATTGGGTCACTATAAACATTTCGTCCGAACAGTCGTTTGCAAAAGTTATCAAAAAAATTTTTTTAGAAAATTCGTTTTTCGCAGTGTGCGACCCAAATGCGTCGTAAGCGGGGAATTATTTTCACGGAAGGCTTAGATTGGGTCACTATGATAACAAAGTTCTTTCACAATTCCATGTATAATGAAGCAGTTTTATATTTCAATTACTGTACAAGTTGATTTTATGCAACAAATATCAATTATGAGATTTTATATATTCCTATACAACAATATTCATTTCGCTGATAGTGCGGATACACACCACTGGTCGTTCGGTAGAGTTCGGAAAATTTAGCAGCTGGGTCTGGCAGCCAACTTCACATAGGTCTGTGTGGCAACGTTGACCTACAGTTAGTGTTGAAAAGGGTGCTATACAATTCTGTAGATGGCGCCCATATAAGGACTTGGTTTTGATAACTCTTTTCAGCACCCAGTATTGAGCTTCTATAAAGAATAGGAGAAACGAACCACGCTTTTGCCTCCGCAACAACCACTGCTAGTTGTGGCATTTGTATCGTTATCTTGCTCTAAGTTCAGAAAAGAGTAAGGTAACGTTACAAAATTGGTGCAGCCAACGTGTGAGGCCCGATTTATTGGAATACTTTTTATAGAAGTTCAATTGTTGCACTGGGGGGAAACTCCAGGACTACCAAAAAAACACTTTCACGGTATGTTATGGTCACAGTGACTTGGATATATTGGTTTTTATTTATTATTTGTAGCAGTGTAATTTATGTTCAAATGTCTTGCTAATTTAGAACTTTGAATTATTTTAGAGAATTTTTATTATACATATTCAAAGTGTCACTTAAAATGGAAGGAAAAATAGAACCGTTATACCTTTCTGAGGAAGAAATTGTTACGAATTGCGAATTCGGGCGGTTAAAGCAACTAGGAAGACTTCAACTTCTAAACGTATCATATTAGCTAAGTTATTGTCACAAGAAACTATTTCATCTCAGGTGGTAGACAATTAGTTTGATGCAGCAGCTGAAAAAGCATTCATTGATAGAACTTTTTCAAATTTGGAATCGTTAATACTCAGTTTCAGAGGTTTTATATCAGACCCAAGATATAATATCATTGAATCGAGATTAACTTCTTTGACGGGAAGAGTTGAACGCTTTCAAATTCCTGAAAAACCTAAAACTGACAAGGTTTCTTATTCTGAATTTAAGGAAAATGGACATGCATCTTGTATAGAGTTGGATGCAAGGTTAGCAATGATTGTGATTCCAGATGTTGTTGAAAATTCTTTGGCTAGTACTTCTTCAGGAGTTGGGAAACCTGTTCCAGTTTCTAAGTGGGGATTACAGTACGATGATTCATCTAGTTTAAAATCATTTTTAGAAAGAGTAGAGGAACTTTCACATTCTCGTAATATTTCGGAAAGGAAACTATTCAACTCATGCATAGACATATTTACGGGAAGAGCTTTAATTTGGTATAGGTCTATCAGAGATGAAGTACATAGTTGGCCTGAATTAGTTTCTCGATTAGAAAGTGCATTCTTACCTTCCAGTTATGATGAAAAGTTACTTGAGGAAATTGAGAGTAGAACTCAGGGTCGTGATGAACCAATTGACATTTATGTATCTATAATGCCTTTTCCATAGGTTGAGTAATCCAATCAGTCATGATGAATGTTTGAAAATAATTAGAAGAAATCTTTTACCGAGATACATAGATCCATTGATTTTACAAGATTTGAATAGCACTCAGGAGCTTATCTCTCTTTGTAAAAAGATTGATTAGGCTTCACAAATTAAGCAAAAATATTCACCACCTAAGTCAGTAAATTGCCTTGAATCTGATCTTGCTTATGTAGAGTCATCAATTGAGGGCAAAAATAAAACTAGTTGGAATAATAAAAGATAATTCAACTTTTCAAAAACATTTAATAAATCTGCAAGTTCAAACAATCAAACATGTCAAGCTCAAGCAAGTACGTCTTCAACAAATTTTGTTAAAAAAATTTATAGATGTGGGAAACTGGATTTTTATAAAAGTAACTGTCCTTTGTGCAATTCAAAAAACGAGTAACGAAGACTCATGATTCAGATTGTCAAGATGTCTTCGTTAGAAAAGGTCTGAGATATAATAATTCTCAAAGATGTAGATTTGGAAAACAAAATGACCTTGATACAGGCTCAAGTTCATTTGTTATTTTTGGTGTAGTAGATCTTTCAATCTTAAAGATTGAAAAAGTTAAAGATAGTGATGTTCTACCCTTATTCATTTCGAAACCTTTTTATAATAGGCCTTATATAGCAGTCAATTTTTATGATGAAGAACTTGTTGCATTATTGGATAGTGGTGCAAATCTAAGTTGCTTAAGTAAATACTGTATGAATTTGATAAAGAGATATAAAATCAAACTTGATAAAACTCAGAAAAGATTAGTAACTACAGCTGATGGGAAGAAGCAGATGGTTTTGGGAGTTTGTGAAATTCCTGTGTGTGTAGGAAATACTTGCAAACTAGTGAAATTGTCTGTAATACCTTCATTAAGATGTGGTTTAATTTTGGGTAGTGATTTTTGTAAAATATTCAAAATCACAATCAATTTTAGTGAATCTTCTTGGCAAATTGAAAGTGAACTTGAACAAAATATTAATATTTTATCGGAAAGTCCAGTAAAAGGTGATTCAGAAGTAGGTCTTTGTAGAACTCTCACCAAGGAACAAAAATCAGAGATGAAAAAGATAATCAATTTATTTAGGACAATCTCTTCAGAAGACAGATTAGGTTTCACAGACAAAATTGAAGCTCATATTGAAACAGGGGATAACCCTCCTTTTAGAAAGAGACCATATATATTCTCTCCTTACATGTTGGAACATCTGAATAAAGAATTGGATAAGATGCTTAAGTTAGGTGTACTAGAACCTTCCTACAGTCCTTGGAGCTCACCAGATTTTGTTTTGATGGCAGAGCTCTAAATGATATCACAAAAATGGATTCTTATCCACTTCCTTTGTTAGAAGATATTCTGAATATGTTGAGTGATGCTAAATTCATTTCAACAATTGATTTGAAATCTGCTTTTTGGCAAATCGGTTTGGATGAAGAGAGTAAATAAAAGACAGCATTTTCAGTTCCTGGTAGAGGTCTGTTTCATTTCAAGACACTTCCGTTTGGCTTATCAAATTCAGGCGCAATAACTCAACGTTTGATGGATAAGATTTTGGGTCCTGAATTACAGCCCAAAGTATTTGTATATTTAGATGACATAGTTTTGTGCAGTTCGACTTTTATAGAACATATAGATTTGTTGAAAGAAGTTTTTAATCGTTAGAAGGATGCAAATTTAACTGTTAACTTCAAAAAGTGTAATTTCTTCAGGGAATCTCTTCAATATTTAGGTTTTGTAGTTGATCAGAAGGGTTTACGAACTTCGCCAGATAAAATCAAAGCCATGGTAGAATATCCTAGACCAGAGACAGCAACGCAGGTGAAACGTTTTATAGGAATGTGCTCCTGGTATAGGGTTTCATTTCTCATTTCAGTACCTTGGTAAGCCCACTAAATGATTCGTTAAAGGGAAAGCATAAAAGTCAGGAAATAGTTTGGAATGAAAAATCTGAAGAAGATTTCATTAAAATTGAGGAAAAATTGGTTTCTACACCAATTCTAATAGCACCTGATTTTTATTTAGAATTTTGTATTCAGTGTGATGCCAGTGGTACAAGATTAGGGACTGTACTTACTCAAGTACAGGGTGGAGAAGAGAAAGTGATAGCTTACGCAAGTTGAAGTTTGAATAGAGCAGGGAGAAACTATTTTGCAACAGATCGAGAATGCCTAGCATTAGTTTTCGCCTTAGAAAAGTTCAGGCCATATCGTCGCCTGAATGTAAGTATTAGGTAACTCCAAATTTTGCAATTTCTAGTTCTCCACGATTGCATATAGTTAAGAACAAGCCGAATTTATTGTAATAAATAGGTAACTTGTCAAAGTGATGTAACGACATCTAGTAGACACTATAAAAAGTAGATAAAATAAAATACGTGCTCGTTGTCATGTCATAAATGGGTAACTGAAGACATCTATTTTTTTCAGAACACTCAGAAGATCGTTTATAGTGCAAAAAGTAGATAACTCAAGATAGCAGCTTATTGCACCAAACCAACCTTAAAAATATTCGTTGTCTTTTCTGTTAGAAGTATGTAACTAGAGATACCTAGTTATTACAAATTTTGCAGGGCTGCATTTATGGTTTCGAAAGTACAGAACTGAAGATGCCCATATAGCGTGAATTGTTTAGGTTCAGTTCTTCAGTTCAGGTATTGACATTCGTAGGTTAGACCGGTAACACGTTCCTTAGAGTAATAATGACATCCAGAGCGTCTAAAATTCTGAGTATGGTGACCATGAACCAAGCAAAAGGTAAGCAAGTGTTAAAATTTGAAACAGTAACAGTTTTTATAATGTTTTCATAAAGTTAGGTTATGGAATTATGTTGAGATACCTACTTTTTACATGTTATTTCAGATTTCAGTAATTTTGCAACTTTCGTGTATTTGATGTGAATACTTAACCGTTTTAACTTTTTTTTAGGTCTGGGTGAAAACATCATAGGGCCGGAGTCTATGAGCACTAGGTTGTACCATAATGAATTTAGGTCGGAACTAGACATTTTTTCCGAATCAGAATCGACTCACAGAGAATTTCCAGAAGTGTCTGTTGAAAACAAACAGAAGAGAGATCACACTCTGAAACATGGCTCAGCTCGTCTTCAACATGAATTGAGGAACGATCAGCTTCCACTTCCCGGACCGAGTCATGATGTGATACATCAAGAAAAAGACAGAGGAGGGTCAAGTTCAGAACGAGGTAATAATAACTCTGTAGAAGTTTTTCGAACGGTTGCTGGTAATGCCAGTGTCAGTGATTTTTCTCCAGATGAATCTGAATATTTTCCTAGTCATACTTCTTCTCATTCTGAAGAAATAGATCTCAATAGTAATTTTTCTGACTCTGAGGTATCAAATTCCAGAAATAACTTAGTAGGAATGGAGGAACATCCAGAGGTGACTAATAAGCCTAGAAGGAAAAGAAGAAATCCAGACAATTGGCCGAGAAATATTAGAAAAAAAAGTAGACTTTTAGGAAAGGAATACGTTACAACGAAAGGGAAAATAAGACCAGCTATCCAAATGATGCTTCCTTGCAAAGAAACCTGCAGATTGAAATGTTACAATCCCAGAAGCTGAAAGGCTTAACATTTTCAAGGCCTTTTACGAACTAGGAGATTACTCACCACAACGAGATTTTATTCATGCCAACACGGAAAAAAATGTGAAAAAAACTAAAACAACCGAGCACCAGTCCAGGAGGAATTTCTCAATCAATTATTTTCTTCCGATTGATGGAAGCAGAAAAAAAGTCTGTAAAGTTATGTTCCTCAACACACTAGGAATTCGGAAAGGCGTTGTTGACATAGCTATGAAGAAGCGGTCAAACGAAAATATTGCAGCATCTGATGGACGTGGAAAGGGCAAGAGTAGCACCTTAGATCCTGCTATAGTCCAAGACATAATGTTGCACATTAAAAGTTTTCCATGTGTTCCATCCCATTACTGCAGATCAGATATTGAACGAAAATACTTGGACTCGTCGTTGAATTTAGCCGCCATGTACAGGATGTACGTTCAATGGTGTCAAGAAAATGGAAAGTCAACGGCAAAGTTATCCACCTACCGAAATTGTTTCAAAGACAACTTCAATCTGGGTTTTCACAGACCAAAAAAAGACCAATGTCGGATTTGTGGAGCCTTCAATAGCGAAGCTGATCCAACAGCAGACATGAAGAAAAATTATCATGCACACCAAAAACTGAAGGATAATTCTCGAGAAGCGAAACGACTGGACAAAGACGCTGCTATTGATAACAATAAGATCATCAGTTGCAATTTCGATTTGCAACAAGTTTTGCTTTGTCCTTCTGACCCCACAAATAATGCGTTATTTTATAAGGTCGATTAGCCACCTATAATTTCACAATTTATAATGTGGTTACAAAACAAGGTGACTGTTTTATGTGGCATGAAGGTCAAGGAGGTAGAGGGAGTTGTGAAATAGTGACCCATCTATTTCGGTATTTTCAATCTCTTCCAAGTTCCAAGAAGTCAGGTGTTTCAGTGATCGTTGTGGGGGTCAAAATCTCAATAAATATGTTGTTGCAATGTGTATGCATACAGTTCAAACAACTGCCAACTAGAAATCCATTCATCTTAAATTTTTAACGCCTGATCACAGCGAGACGGAGTGCGACTCTATGCACTCCGTCATTGGCAACCGAGCTTAAGAGAGTTGGGAAGGCTCTCTGGCCAGGTGATTGGAAAACTATCAGAAGAAGTACAAGAAAAAAGGGCGATGAGCCCTATAATGTGCATGATATTCAGGGAACAGATTTCTTTGATTGAAAGACATTTGCTGATACTCAGCTAACCATGAGAAAAAAAGATATTAACAATAAGCCTGTTCAATTTCAAAAACTGTGCTGGTTCCGATTTAAAAAAGAAAATGTGTATCAATATGAGTGTAATGAGACTTTTGAAGTGGATAGTTTCATACAAGTGGATTGTAATAAAAAGGTTTTACGCCGGAAATCGACCAGTTTGATGCCTTGCTATCCTCGAGGTCATCCTATAACTGAGGTCAAATACAATGACTTAATGTCGTTGTTTTCTATGAATCCAACGGCATTAAGCCGTGACTATTTTGATTTTTACTACAACCCGCCACATAGGAGAACGGATGAAGAAGAGGAAGATTAAGATTACTGTTTATTTTTTGGGGATTTAACCAAATTCATCTGCCCAATGGATTTAATATCAACTTTATGCTAGAAATATTTTGGTTATCTCTGATATATTGGCATAATTTCATTAAGGTTCAAAATATAATTTCCAGTGCAACAAGTGGGTAACTTTTGTTTTTTCGTAAAAAAATGTTTTTGTTTTTATTATTTATTTGTCCTTGTTCATGTACTCTATAAGCAATAATAAAACCTACAAAAAAAATTGAGTCATTTCATTGAAATCAATTGCTTCCAGATCATTAATAAAACCAACAGAATTATGTTTTTGCCAATAACTCAGAACAGTGCAAAATGAGTTACCCAGTTTTTACACTCAGGCGACGATATATAGAAGGGGTCCATTTTAAAGTTGTGTCCGATCACGCAAGTTTAAAATACCTCTTTATGATGTCAGGTAGCTCTGGTAGACTTAGTCTTTGGGCAATGAGACTTTCAATTTTTGATTTCGAATTGATTCACCTAAAGGGTAAGCTCCACATTACCCCTGATGCCTGATCTCGGGCAGCACTTTCTGAAGAAGTCAGTTCCTTGGGCATTTCCTTAGGTAATCTTGAACCATGGTATCTGAAAATGAAAAATAACATTATTGAAAATCCTGAAAAATATCCTCAGTGGATGATTAAAGATGATTATACCTATAAACATACTCCTAGAAAAATTGCTTTAAAAACAAATACAACAGAATGGAAATTGTTAGTACCTCTTGACCAAAGACAAAAGGTTATTTATGATTCACATAATCTTGCAACTTCAGCTCATCTAGGTTATTTTAAAACTTCAAACAAGGTTGCAGAACAATTTCATTGGCCACAAATTAGGAAGGATATTTTAAAGTATGTCAGAAAATGTGAAATTTGCTGTAGTCAAAAGGCTATCAATGCTCAACGTTTTGGTTTGATGGGAGCTGAGCGAAAAGCTAGTTTTCCATTTCATTTCATTAGTACAGATGTAATGGGTCCATTCCCAAAAAGTTCCAAGGGTAATAAATTCCCGATAGTAGTTTCAGATTATTTTTCAAAGTTTATTGTGATGAAACCTATTAGAAACGCCACAGCTCAAGCTATTACTACATTTTTAGAGGAAGTTGTCTTAACTTTTGGTGTACCTCAAGTTTTATTGTTAGATAATGCAACTGCACATAAGGGTGAAGTGTTCAATGACTTCATTAAGGAATATTAAATTCCTAAAGTAATGTATACTTGTCGTTACCAACCAAATGAGAATCCCACAGAGAGAAATAATAGGACAATAGGAACAGCTATTAGGTGTTTCATTAAAGACTCTCATAAACAGTGGGATAAGGAAATTTTGAAGATTCAGCATGCCATTAATTCTGCTACTCACGAAGTAACAGGTTTCAGTCCTAATTTTTTTAATTTTGGTAGGATTGTACCAGCTAATGGTGAATAATGGTGATGTCATTGATTTTGATTGGAACAATAATTCCCCAGCTACAAAAATGTATAGTGAAGAGTTGGAAAAATTACCTTCGTATAAAAAGGTGCAAGACAAATTGACAGCCTCATATCAGAGGAATGCTAATTATTATAATTTGAGAAAACGTGAGCATATTTTTCAAATGGGTGGGAAGGTTTGGAAACGAAACTTTGTACTTTCAGATGCTGCAAAGTTAGCGCCGCGTTTTGTATTGTCAAATATAGGAAATAAACATGAAATAATTCAGATTCATTTAAGTAAATACATGAATTGAAAAATATTCCAACCTCACTTCAATATTTTAACACAAGAACACTCAGTATTGAGAATTCCATCTTTTAATATTTCAAGTTCATAGACATCGAAATTGATCCGATCACAGGATATGGAATATAAAACAATCTCCAAATATGCAAACTTGGCACAGATTGCATGCTGTGCATTTTACCTCAGTACAGTGACCGGATCAAAGTCGCAATGTCAGCGTATAATTCTTTATAAATATTGAGGGAGGTCAAGATCATGAACAATTAACAGTCAACAGACAGTATTCATTTACGTATCGATTGGGTCATCAGAAATGCAGCACATCTCCTTCTCTTCAATCCTGCTGGGTGGCAGTATAATGTAAGTTTTTTTATTGTTTTAATGTATTATTTTCTTATTAACATTTGAGTTTGAGTTTATTTAAAGTATTTTTTCCGTTTCTTTTACAATAAACATTTAATTAAGTTTTAAATGAGTTCTTTTATTATTTGGATGAAGGAATGAATGGGTGAAACAGCAAATAAAAATCCTCTCGTTAATAGCCAAGCGAGTACTGAGTTGGTTGTAGGTAGGACGTGGTTGGTAGTAATTATATCTTTGATTTCCTCGAAAAAACTGATTCGGTTGGTAGTTTGACTGGCGTTGGTTGGCATAGTAATCCTGTGGCTGAAATTGGTTGTTTTGATGATGTTGATTTGAGAATTGGTATCTTTGTGGCCCATGAAATGAATTTCGATTTTAATAGAATTAATAATTAGTTAATAATAATCATGAAGTCATAAAATATATATCATACTCAATCATCACCAAATAATCTTTTAAATTTCTCTTGTAATTTTTCTTCACCTGTCAACTCTATTATTTTAGAACACTTTGGCATTTGTTCAGGGTTATGAAAAAATTTGGGGTTGGTTTCATAGATGTCTACTAAAAGGGAAAGACTGATGCTTACTATCAATTTTTGTTTTTTTACTGCTTGGTTTAATGCTAGTTTTGCCTTCAATTCTTTAATGAGCTGACGTTGACGACGACTAGGATTTTTGCTTAAATTGATTAAAGGATGATTGGGAACAAGGAATATATTATGAATCCAACTAATTGATAATATGATACACATTCCCAAGCTGATGTAACAGATATTGGTAGTATATTCAGTAAAATCTTGGAGTTTATGAAATGACTTCCAAGTCATTTCATACATTTCTACAATAGTAGAATTTAAGATTTGAGTTGTATATTCGGTAGAATTTGGGGCAAAGTCTAGTTGTCCCTCACTTAGGTGTAAAGCTACTTGGACTTGGCAAGTCCCCAGAATGGGTGGAGCATAACATTTTTCCATACCCATGGCAGTAACACTGCTGTTTGTGCAGTAATGAGGTAAAAGATACTTACTTCGTCAGCAAGTTAAGCCATTTTAAGATACAGGGTAGTCCACAAACTTTTCCAGGGTGAATCATCTGTGTTGTGTACATTACTGTACCTTCAAAGGGTGATCAATGTACCACTGGACCATACGGGTTATTAGTTGAAGGGTGATCAATTTACCACTGGACCATATCGGTCATTAGTTAATGGGTGATCGATGGCTTAGGCTCGTTGAAATAGAAATCCCCTCATACCTCGTTTGGTATAGAATAATTTGGGCCGGTGAAAATAGTTTCATTAGTCCTCGGGATTTTACGTTTCTGAAAAGAAATGTTAAATAGAAATTAGACTATCTTTGGTTAAATTCAAATATATATTAATTTTTAATTCTTACCATATAGATTATTAGTTAAAGGGCTATTTATAACATATTGATTTGGCGGTTCTGTAGTTTCTAACCTCTCATTTAGGTATAGAATATTAGCTACAATTGGCTATGATGACAAACTAGAGGTGATTTGTTAACATGCATTTCAGACCTCACATTTTCCTACGTAGAATGATCTGTGATGTAGTTGCGGAAGGTATCAAGAGTAGGGCGACTTGGTATCATGCATTTTAACGCCTACCTATTTTTTTTTGTAAGAGACCAGACTGTGTTGGGTGCGAGCATAGTCCATTCCTGGCAGCTTGTGTAGCGGAATTCATGAAAGGGTGAACTTTGGGGGGTGTCGTTAAGCTATTCGAAGAGGTCAAGGCTGGTCATCAAGTGAAGCTCAACTAGTGGCGGTTTGGCGGCAGTACTAGGGGATCCTGAGCTCCATGAATTTGTCACTAATGGGGATTTATTCGCAGTAACACGGATGGAAATATCTCCGAATATAAGGTTTTCGGTTATGGCTTGGAGCCATATTTTACACCAATTGGCGAGAACAATTGGTAGTGATTTTTTAACTTGAGAGGTTTCCTTTTGTTGCGGTGGAGAGGAGTTGGCCTGTTCACTGTTGAACTTGGGGATGAGAGGTATCAGGTGTTTCAACGGCGCGGCATGAACATCTAGCAGCGAAACGAGAGATACATAAGAGTATTACTTACAATCTTACCTAACGAAACATTTGAAGATCAAATTTTTCTTTGTAACGTTCCGTTTTTCCATTAGAAATTTCATATTGTTTGTGACAGAATCTGAACACGAAATACACCTTTTCCTTTTCAATCTCAAATTGTGAAGTATAACATACCCATTATCTGAATTCTTATTTTTATTTTCACAGATCTGGGATTCTTCTGAGCAGTCTTCGGTAGCGCTACCAAACAAATATAAGTCGCAATATTGACATTCAACAGCCATATTATTTGTTTTGATTATTTTATTCCGTATCACGGTTAGGTATGCAAAGAAACCTCAGATAAATATTCTTCTTTTGTTCAGTTACAGAATCCATTTTCAAAGAGTAATGTTATTAAGTCAGGGAATTCATTTTTACCGAGTAAGATCAAATTAGAAGTTAGACACAGAGAGAGAGAGATATATATTTTATGTCATTCTTAGAATCGGTGGACTTGGTTTATATGTCTATTTTATTAGGTGAATGAGGAGTTTGAACTTTGAACTGGTACCGATTTGATGTAGATAGAATGAAATTGTGAAACGGTCTTTCTGTGCTTGGCTTTCTAA